GGTTTTACACATAGATTTATAGAATGATGGGTATATATCTAGGAAATAGAAATTATAGGGACCTATATTGGACAAGCCCTATTTTAAATCAGAAAATAAAGGGACAAACTAGAAAAGTGGGGGTTCAATAAAGCAAAGCTAAAAGATGAAGACATCATTGATGGGAGATTTCAAGCACGGATTTTTCCAAACTGCTAAACTGTGGAAAATGGAATGACCAGAAAGAAAGCAAAGAATCTAACATGCATACTCAAGACGCCTATGTACGTATCAATGTGTTTTCTCTTTTCAAAGCCATGAGATGAGAGTAGTTATGGAAGTCTAATTATTTTCTTCATCTATTGGACCAGGGCGGTCTTGAGATTTTGAGGACCCTGTGTGAAACTTAAACTAGAGCCCTCACATAGTCTAATATGAAAATACTAAAAAAAAAAAAATTTTGCCATAACTTAATATCATAAAATAATTTTTTTTTTATAACTAAAATTCATCAATTAGCATGTAATAACAATCACAAATCATATTCATAAATTTTTTAATATTTTCATTTCATAAAGTTAAATATTAGTATGTTCTGTAAAAAAAAAAAGAGTTCAAGAGAAAGAAGAATGGCATGAATTTCTGTTTTGGTTTTGTTTTGAAGGGAAGAAAGTACCTCTTTTTTGTTTTTTTTCTTCTCTTTTTCTATAGTTGCAGGCTGGGGTGGAGGGTGGGGGGCGCTGGGGTTCTGGGTTTGTCGGGACAATGGTTGTGGGATGGATTTGAGGGTTGGAGCTTGCGGGTGGTGTTCATGGGGAATGGGGGACGAAAGAAATCGACGGGGGAGAGGGAGAGCGCAGAGTGGAGAGAGAGAGAGTTTAATTTTTTAATTTTAATATTTTAATATTTTATTCATATTTTAATTAATTTTAAATTTTAGAAAAGAGAAACTATGAAATCCATAGTTCTACATAGACAACTAACGGAAAGATGTGACGAAAACGCTAACAACGGAATCACAAATTTAAAAAATCGAGGTATGTTATTAAAAAAAATTAAAAAAATAGAGACTAACATGTATTAAGGATGTAACCACAGGATCTTAAATTGTAATTAACTCTTACTACAATTATACAAACTAGCATCTCCGCACGCGCTTCCACACTTGCGAGAGGCTTTTTTAAAAAAATTAAAAATTTATTTTAGAATTAAAAAAGATAATGGATAGTTGTGTTCTATAAAAATAGGCTATTATCTGAATTTTCTTTTAATTTTAATTTTTTTAAATATGAAAAAGTGTGAATTTATCATATTATCCTCATTTAATTAATAATTTCAATTCTTAATGTTTGCATTAACCAAGGGCATTTTCTGATATTTTGAATGTTTCACCATTCTCTGCCTTTTGCTTTGTATATATAGATAAAAAAGAACCCCCACATTTACACACAATACCATTGTTTCCATATTTTAGAAAATTCATTTAAAGTCAATAAATGTTGCCAGCTGTCCCGCGACCACTTCCAGCTGCCCGGCCGGACCCTTTCCAGCAATAAATTCTGGACGGAGATATACAATTTGCGTAAAGCTTGGGATTGAGAGGTAGGAAGAGTGTTTTTCGGTTTAAATGCCCACCCCTAGTGGATTGTTTTTTATTTTTTGGGCTAATTTTTATATTTGATTTAAAAAAAGAATTTTTTATTAATTTGTTTTTCTCCGTGGAGTCCACTACTAGAGCAAAAACAATTCTCTCAGTCTGCTCTATCTTTTCTCATTCGATGGTGAGTGGGAGACAATATTTCCTTATGCTACATTTCAGCGTTGGGGGGACATATATAAAAATTGCTTATTATTTTTGTTTTGGGCCCCTACATGATTAGGCCAAGTTTACTACTAAACTAATCTTTTTGCGTGGGCTTGGGCATCGACATAAACAATAAATATTATTGTCAAGAATATCTGAACATTGTGACAAGATGATAACAATATAAAGGATTGAATGTAAACAAAAATGTAAACAAGCATTGAATTTAAAGGATGATTACTTTCTGGACAAGTATTGATGAGAACAACGGAGAGGGAGAGGGGATGCAAGGCCTCTTCCTCTTCGCATTGAATTCATTGGAAACTTAGCTTTAACTAGGCTAACATCACCCATATCCCCAAAGCTAGTCTCCATTATCAACCATTCTTTTAGCAACATCAACCTTTCTACCTTCAATTTATTATTCTTATCCAAGTACTTGACAGCTCTCTCGAAAACCCCTCTACAACGCTGAATGCATACACATTGTTCCTCTCTTCCTTGTGCAACAAGAGAATCCTTGGATTGATGACCTTGTGCCTCAAATTTTGCATAGCTGATCCACACCTTTAGGTGCTGTGTCCGGTCTAAGAGTCTCTCGTAAATCTGTCTAGCTCTCTCAACCTCACCCTCCCATCTCTCAAAGTCAATGTAAGCCTTCCACAACAATCCAGGCTTGTCAAGTTGCGGCTGCCCAATGGCAAGTTCGAAAATCCCCCTTGCTCGTTCTTCCTCACCCAGAGTCTTCTCTAGCTCTGCGTACTTGACCCAATTATTGCTATTCCGTGGTGACCAATCCAGATAATTCTCATACAGTTTCCGACATCGATCTACATTCCCAAGTCTCAGCTCCATCTCTATGTACTTGTCAAATATTGCAGCTTTAGGTGCACAGCCTATTGACGCGCCGAGGATCTTGCGCGCCCCCTCGAGATTCAGCTGTCGAATCTCAAACTGGGCCGCATGAAGCCATGCTTTCGCAAACGAAAACTTGGTATGAGGAATCAATTCAAGGCACTGCCTATACGCTTGTCTGGTTCGTTCCACGGCATCTCCTCCAGCAGCAACAAATTCCTCATACCGTGCATAGTCGATCCAAAAATCAACATAGCGCTTCCAAAGCAGCTTGCAAAGCGGAGGAACATTAGCTAAAGCTCTGGCATAGAGCTCTCTAATTCTGTGCTTATTGGCTGGAGCTGGAGCACTATCTTCTTCTAGCCGTATGTAACCAGTCCAGGAATCGTAATTTAGAGGATTGTTCCCAACCTCATGCTCGTACTGAAGCCTCCTCCAATCCCTATTCTGCCTCTCAACATCATAAACCATTGGCCTACGCCCACCCGAGAATCAACTCCCAATTTCTAAATACAGTTCTGAGAATCAACAACTGCAGCTCCTGCTTCTGGCAATTGGGTTTTTGGGACAAGAGAGAATCGTGTTCTGAGACGGGCGGTTTAGAGAGAGGCGAGGGACCCGGTGTACTTCTTTGATTTTCTAGACGGAAAAGGAGGTGGAATCGAATATCAAACTTCCAAACCAATTGCGATTAAGAAACCTAATAGAAACCTAATCAAACTACTGATAATAATAAATAATAATAAAATAAAAAGTAACCTAATCAAACTAGAATTGAAAACCGAAATTAAGAAATTACCATAATGGTTATGGTTGAATGCCGGGCCGAGCCGAGGGAATTGGTGATGATAAAACGGGGCCGTCCGAGGAGGGTTTAGGGACCAGACTCCAGACAGAGGGTGGGGAAAAAAAGCGGGTCCGGGTCGGATTGTGAACGATGAGGTTTAGGCTTGCAAGTTGCAGGCTGAGATTAGATAAGAAAGAGGAAAGCTTTCAAGAGAGAGCCATATGAGATTGGGAAATAGGTTTATCGGGACGGAATAAGGACTCTGTTTCCCGTCCTTTCTTGTCTTCCTTTGTGTATAAGAAATAGGCAGCACTTTAGTGGGTCCAATGCGCTTGACACGTCAGCAAATATAGTCAAACTAACGGAAGGGCTAACTTGTCGTATTTCAGTATATTATCGATAAACGGTTAAATGAAAATGTTACTTTCAAAATAATGTCGTAAAATGCAAACGCTTTATATTTATAGTTGAGGCCTGAAGGGGACAGAATTTAATTATCTCTAAAAATCTAATCAACCTAAAGTCAACCAGATTGTCTTGCCTTTAAAAGCATCTCCAACCGATATGTCAAATTGCCACGTGGACATTATATTATGTTAGAAAATTTTTACGTGAAACCTTGAATTTAATATTCCTTTCTAAATAAGTTTCCTTATTCTTGTGGGATCAATTTCCTTATAACACAAGGAGTGACCAATTTCCTTAAATATAATATAATATAATGTTAGAAATTTTTTACGTGAAACCTTGAATTTAATATTCCTTTCTAAATAAGTTTCCTTATTCTTGTGGGATCAATTTCCTTAGAACACAAGGAGTGACCAATTTCCTCAGAGCATAGGGAGTGACCGCAATTTTCTTAAGGCATAGGGAGAAGGGTACTGTTCTCTATAAATAGAGATATTTGCATGCTATCAATGAATGCATACGAAAATTTGCAAAACATTGTCAAGTTTTAGATTTTCCAAGCGAGTAAACCCCAGCCATGGCTTCCTTCAAGGACGCAAACCCAACCCTAGGGTTCTTAACCCGAAAGGATGCCGACGTCATGCTACCACGACCCATTAGGGTTAAGAACAAAACCCCGACCCCTGTTCAAATTATCGCAGAGCAAATCCTCCGTGAGGCACGTGAGCGCCAGGAGGCTGAAATCCGACCTCCCAAGCAGAAGATCATTGATCCCACCGAGCTTGCAGATTACCGCCTCCGAAAGCGCAAGGAATTCGAAGACCAAATCCGGCGCATGAGGGGGAATGTCAGAGACTGGATCAAGTATGCGCAGTGGGAGGAGTCCCATAAGGACTTCGAACGTGCTCGCTCTGTTTGGGAGCGTGCCCTTGAGGTTGATCACCGGAACCCTACCCTGTGGCACAACTATGCTGAGGCGGAGATGAAGAACAAGTTCATCAACCATGCAAGGAATGTGTGGGACCGTGCCATCACCCTCTTGCCTAGAGTTGATCAGATTTGGAACAAGTATATTCACATGGAAGATATTATAGGGAATGTGGCTGGTGCTCGGCAGATATACGAAAGGTGGATGAATTGGATGCCGGACCAGCAAGGCTGGCTCTCCTTCATCAAGTTTGAGCTTCGCTATAATAAGATCGAGCGTGCTAGAGCAATTTTCGTCGTGCAATGTCATTCGAAAGTTGGTGCTTGGATTCGGTATGCCAAGTTTGAGATGAAGAATGGTGAGGTTGGGAGGGCAAGAAATGTATATGAGAGAGCAGTGGAGATCATGGGCGATGATGAGGAGGTCGAGCAGTTATTTGTGGCTTTTGCTGAATTTGAGGAGCGGTGCAAAGAAACTGATAGAGCAAGGCGTATTTATAAATTTGCACTTGATCATATACCCAAACAAAGGGTTGAGGATTTGTATAAAAAGTTTGTGTGTTTGGAGAAGCAATATGGAGATAGACAAGGCATTGAGGATGCGATTGTTGGAAACAGGAGATTTCAATATGAAGACGAGGTTAGGAAGAATCCTCTTAATTATGATTCCTGGTTTGATTATATAAGGCTAGAAGAGAGTGCAGGAAATAAGGACAGAATTAGAGAGGTTTATGAGAGAGCTATTGCTAATGTTCCTCCTGTGCCGGAGAAGCGGTATTGGCAGCGCTACATTTGCTTGTGGATCAATTATGCACTATATGAGGAGCTTGATGCTGGAGACATGGAACGTGCACGAGATGTATATAGGGAATGCCTTCAACTGATTCCTCACAAGAAGTTTTCATTTGCAAAAATATGGCTTCTCGCTGCCTTGCTTGAGATACGACTGCTGAATCTCGAGGGTGCACGCAAGATCCTTGGTACTGCAATAGGCAAGTCACCTAAAGATAAGATATTTAAGAAGTATATTGAGATTGAGCTGAACCTTGGGAATTTCAAACTTCAGCACCTGTTGTAATGTATTCTATGTCAAGGATCTGTAAATTATAAGTGTTTTTTTTTTATGTAGGTGCAAAAGAGGCGGATATATGATATAACAAATGTTCTTGAAGGAATTGGTCTCATAGAAAAGAAGCTCAAAAATAGAATTCAGTGGAAGTAAGGGATTAGTTGTATTTGTTTCCTGAAATTTTAACAGCTATTTTTCCACTTTATTAAGTTGTAAATATTCAATTATCCACTGTACATTAGAAGTTACTCAAAATTGAGTGATTGGTTGATTAGGGGACTTGATGTCTCGAGGACAGGAGATGTGGACGAAAATTATCCTAGTCTTGTGCATATTATCATAGCATTCACAGCAGGCAAAATCCACATGAACCGAAATTAATGAATATGGCTTTCGTATATCTGCAGGTAGCCGCAGGAAAATATTCTTGATCACAATCCTTACTATTGTGTCAGCATGCCTGGCAATACTACTTTTGGGTTCCTTTGTCTATCTTGCAGTGACAAAAAGAAATAAAGAAGGTAGTTATGCTTAATTATGAAAAAAAAAAAAAAATTACTTCAAACCTCACCTTACATTCCTAATTGTTTTTTTAAAAGCAGTTGTTTTTTTTTTCAGGAAGAAATTATCGAAGAGCTCTGGTTTGGCAGCTATACATGCAGCTACTTCCAACTTCTCTGATTCAAATAAGCTTGGGGAAGGTGGTTTTGGTCCTGTTTACAAGGGATTGACTTGACTTTGTTTCGTAACAAATTATGAAAAGCTTGCACATGTGCTTGCTTAGTATTTTATTATGTGACTTGAAAGAGAATCTGGTGGTAATTTCTCAGGGTATGCTATATGACGGAAGGGAAGTGGCAATCAAGAGGCTTGACTTCTTTTCTTATGATGGATGGTCGGATCCACTAATAGTGAGTTTCTGTTTATGGAACCGCACCCTGAGAAAATAATGAGATCAGAAAAATTGATGGTTTATTTGCACCTCTGTTTTGCAGAATGGTGATTTACTAGCCTTCAACTTGAAGACACGACAGATGTAATATATTCTCTTACTATCTATGCATTTATCCTCTGTTCCTCGTTGCTACTGCTATCACTAGGTGTTGAGGAAGACCACTTGTTTTGAGTAGATCTATTACTATGTGACACAGTTATTTACACTCATTGATGTTTTCAATTCGAGTGCGGCTCTGTCAAGATTGATGCGGCTGTTTCGCTGGGGATCTCCCTTGGTTCTGTTAAGGGGGTTTTGGTTGATGATTGTTGTATGCTCCTTTCGCAATTTCAGTCAACTTCTTTGGCCCACGGCCCATGTGCCTAAGAATTGTAATCGAGTTGCTAACAAGCTTGCCATGTTTGCTTTTCATTTGCTTCGAGATTGTTTTTTTTTTTTGAAACGAAACGATTATATTGATTGGGTAAATGACTTAGTACAGAGAATCTTCCACCAAAGCATCAGTAATGATCACAGGAGGTTCCCATGACCACGTGGAAGCTGAGGTCAGTGTTAAAGATAGTTGTGCTAGTCTAAAGGCCACTTTGTTGGCCATTCTAGAGATATGCGTAAAGGAACTGTTAGGCAAAAGCGCAAGGATCGCTTTGCAGTCCTCCACCAAAGCACCAATTGAGGAAGTATCCGCCGTTGTGCGACTCAACGATTGGACAAACTCCAGAGCATCACACTCCATCTGCAAGTGATTAAAGTTCCTATCACTAGCAAATTGTAAAGCCTCCCTAAAGGCAAGGGCCTCAGCATGTGCCGGTGATGAAACCCAGGGGAAAAAACAAGCTTTTGCAGCAACAAAAACTCCATCCTCATTCCTCGCCACTAAGCCACCACCACCAGACCCATTATGGGCTCTAAAGGTACCTTTCACGTTGATCTTGATGACCCCAACAGGAGGTTTTTGCCACTTTGCATGAATCCCAAATGAAACTTTGGTAGGGGGTTGGTGCAGCCTCTGAAAGTCATCGAGTAGCCGCATAGTCCCTTCCACCAGCTCACCCTGGCTTCTCCGCTTACCCTGCCAAACCACGTTATTCCTTTCATTCCAGACAGCCCAAGCCAACATCAAGGCCATTGCCGTTACTTGTGGCTTCCAGCTCAGAAGGATATGCTCAACCCAACCCTTGAGATCGGTCATTGGGGTAAGCTGGAAGTCCAGCTGGAGAGGGCAGTTCTTCCACATCACTGAAGAATAAGAGCAGTTAAACAGGATGTGCCTAAGAATTGTAATCGAGCTGCTAACAATCATCAATAAGAAAGATATGAACATTTTAAGTTATTTGATAGAATTATGTTTAATTAGTCTTGTTCTTCTGGACCTTATGGTTCAAAAAAATTGTGGTCAACCACCCTTAGATTTAATCTAAACATTCTTGAAAAAAAAAAACTGATTTAAAAATTATAATATCATCATTTTTTTTACTCTGTATCAAAACACCAATTTGGTTATTAAAAATAAATTTTAAAAACACCAAACAACAAACGCCATCACCCGATTGAAAAAAGGCAGAATTATCCACCACCAGGTGATCAACTTCCACCATCTCCTTCATACTATGGAGAAGATCAACCTCCACCCGCACACCTTTAAAAAATTCTAAATAAAATCTTTTAAAAAAATATCTCTAAAAAAAAAGTCAGCCCCACACCAGATCTCCACTCCCCTGTCCTAGACGCCTACCCGCCCCTCTCTGTATGTTTGTCTCTATGACTCTCTCTCATATGGGATGGGTGTGGCGAGAAGAAAAATACAGTACATCTCCTCACCCACCCAACAAAGAATTGCTTCTAGTCTTCGGAATCTCGCCCCTCATCCTCTCGACCAGATTGCCATCAATGATCACATGCTCATGCTCTCATGGGTCGGGTCCTTCGTCGCCACCATTCAAATGGGTCAGGTGTTGGATTATAAGGTCCAGGAAAATGGGACTATGTTTAATATATTAGATTAAATTTGACGATAATGTTTCATATTTCATTATCATTATTTTTTTTAATTATAAAAATGGATCATCCAATTTAATTTAATTTAATATTAATTGAATTGGATTGAAATGAATTTAAACTTTTAATTTAATTTAATACTAGCCTCTCTGCACGCGCTTCCGCGCCTGCAAGAGGCTTTTTAAAAAAAATTTAAAATTTATTTTAGAATTAAAAAAGATAATAGGTAGTTGTGTTCAATAAAAATAGGATCCATTATCTGATTTTTCTTTTAATTTTAATTTTTTTTTAATATGAAAAAGTGTGAATTTACCATATTATCCTCATTTAATTAATAATTTCAATTCTTAATGTTTGCATTAACCAAGGGCATTTTCTGGTATTTTGAATGTTTCACCATTCTCTGCCTTTTGCTTTATATATATAGATTAACTAGTCTCTTCGCACGCGCTTTCGCTCCTGCGAGAGGCTTTTCTTTTTAAAATTTTAAATTTATTTTAGAATTTTAAAAAAATCATGGGTAGTTGTGTTCCGTAAAAATAGGATCCATTATTTGATTTTTTTTTAATTTTAATTTTTTTTATATGAAAAAGTGTGAATTTACCATATTATCCTCATTTAATTAATAATTTCAATTCTTAATGTTTGCATTAACCAAGGACATTTTCTGGTATTTTGAATGTTTCACAATTCTCTGCCTTTTGCTTTATATATATAGATGAATTGGATTGGATTGAATTTAAACTTTTAATTCAATTGAATTGTATTGGCTAAATCATAATCCAATGTGAATTGATTAAATTATGTTGGCTAAATCATAATCCTATTTTCCAATCCAATCCAATTCACCTAATTTTATCTTTTTTTTAAAGAAGATAAAAATAAAAAAGCCAAATGCAGCCACGAGTGCGCTACTTGTGCACCCACACGAAAAGCATAACTGTCTCTTTAATCCAATTTGAAATTATTGGGCATAAATGTTTTCGTTCTCCAGTGGCTCAAGGCAGTGCAGTTAATAAATATAACATGGATTCAACACTTAAGGAATTACGTGGAGCAGCTAATTCTGAAGGGTATGGGATTTGCTCCAAGAGCAAAAACATGAGCTAATTCACCATGATGTACTATCTTTTGTTTAATGGAAAGTACATTTGAACATTAAAAAAAAAAAAAAAAGGTCTGACTTAAATGGGAGGCAAAACCCAAAATTTGGGATTTTTAGCCCAAAACCTTCTCTAAGACCGTCTCCAACCATGTTGAGGCTAAACTCAAATTTTCACCATCCAAAATACAACTATTCATGTATTTTCAGGACTCAAAATTTTTTTTCATCCAACCTTACAAACTCATAATTTGAGTCCGCAACTTTATTAAATTGTTTAAGAATAATTAACCCTTAAATTTTTTTTCTGGACATTATTTTTGTTTCAACATTCGTGATTTAATTTTCTAAACATTTTAACCTAAAAAAATTAAAATTCCAAAACATAATAGAATTTAACTTTTAAAAAAAAAAAAAAACTGCATATCAGATTTTTTGAAAATATAGCCGTTGTCCATCAATAATGAAATGTGAAAATGCTTTTTCGCACAAAGTTGCTGCCCAAACAGAAATTGTCAGCGGGCCCAGCAATTTTGGTTAGCACGTGGGTTTCCTTCCAGCCATAAACAAAAAATTGCAGATTTTGGGCCCACAAAATTATCAGTCCAGACAATAAAGGGACTGAAATTCCATCTAAGATTTGAGATTTCTCAAATTTTCACCCTCCAAAATACATGGGTTGGAGAAGTTTTTTGGACTCAAAACTCAAAATTTGAGTTTCCACCCCTTGGGTTGAAGATGGTCTAACCCATGCATTTGGAGGGAGGGAAATTTGAGTTGACTGAAAAATGGGGCGGAATTTGGCCTCAGATTCCAGTCCAGGCAGAATTTTTGTGGGGAGGCCTCATTTGAAGCAAATGATGGGCTATTAACCACTACCCCAAGTTGCTGGCCACTTGTCAAAGCCTAGGCAACTTAAAAATTGGACTTCTATGGCTGCATTTCAAATGGGCTTCTTTCAATATTCTTTTTTTCAAACCTAAAGGCCAGAAATCAACGGCTGATATTAAATTTTGGCTAGATCAAAGGGGAAAAAAAATAATCCAAAAGTGATATTTAAATTCAAAGGTAAAAATAAGTAAATATATTATTCTAAGTTAGATGCAACCTCAAAACATATCCTAAACTCTATAAATACCCATCAATTTGTTAATAAAATTATGTTTGTGAAATTTCAAAAAAATTATGTCAAAATGTTCAAAAAAATAAATCACGGAGTAATATGCAAAAATTAACTAAAAAAAATTAACCACAAAAACAAAATATGATTATATTATTCTTTAACAGTTTAATAAAGTTGCGGACTCAAATTATGAGTCCGCAAGGTTAGAAGAAAAAACAGTTTGAGTCCTAAAAATACGTAAATAGTTGTATTTTGGAAGGTGAAATTTTGGGTTTGAGTCCTCTAGAGTTGGAGATGGCCTTATGTCTATCGGCTAGTGCAATATTCGAGAGTAAAACCACTCGCAGGCACGCTGGTTGTGAAAAATGTTTTAGAGGAGCATCAGATGAGCTGCGCAAGCTAAGCCTTGAGACGCAGAAGGGGGTATAAATATAATATGGTACGACGATTGTCTCTTTAAGTACTCAAGTTCAAACTTCTTTCGTGTACCAGATATGAATAAAGCGGTTTATTTGACAAATAATAACATGTATAATGCTCCTGTGTTATTTGACGACAAAGTTAATCGATTATTAACTCATATATGTAATGAGGCTGCTTGTAACCAACAACTACATGCTCACGGAACCCTACCTATTGGGAATAAAGATTCAGTTTATGGTGTAGCTCACTGCACTCGTGGCCTTTTAAAGAGATGTCCACTCTAGTACTTGCACAATACAACAAAATAACCCCAAATTACAGAAACCCCAATTACAATATCTAACCCAACTCGCCATCATTGTCGTCATCACTGCCGCCATCAAGAAACTGTTGTTAATTATTATGTTAACTCGCAATTGTACGGGGCAATTAGTAGTATAGCAAGACAAGTACGAGGTCGTACCCA